GCCTAAGTTACCAAAAAAAAAGAGGACAGATTTAACGTAATCTTGTTGCTGCCTCATCCCTGGAAGTGTTCAAGGCCAAGATGGACGCGGCAGCCGTGTTTAGTTGAAGGTGTCCCTGGCCATGGCAGGGGGTTGGAACGAGGTGATCTCTAAGGTCCCTTCCAACCCAAACCATTCTATGATCTATATGACGGAAGGTGGGTGGGGCTTTGGAGAGTTATTTGTTTGTTTTGTCTTTTTGTTTGTTTTACTGTTAATAGATACATTATTCATCCAGCCTGCCTCTGCCATATTGCAGTTCTGGATCCAGCTAATTTAAACATGTCCTAGAAGCAGCCATCCTTTATTTCTCAGATATCTTATTTATTCCCAATAGAGGCAAGAAAGCGGACGGAACATACGGAGGCCATAAGAAAGGGAATGTAGAAATTGGACTGATGCATCCTTCCCCTTTGCCAGTATCAGGGCAGCAGAGGCTGAACTGCAATGATTTTCACATTTCTGTCAGAGACATTTGATCCCCTGTAGCAGAAAAGAAGTTAAATCAAGCCCAGTGATGGAATCAAGTGACGAGATATAATTTGATTTGCTTCCTCAACAGCGTCTCCCAGAGCAACACCCAGAATACATCAACAAGGTGAGCATCACTGCAATGCACCAGACCAGTTCTCAAATCTTAAAGAGTAAAAAATTGCATCACCGTATAAACTTAATCATTTGATTAAAAAAAGACCCTTTTCTCCCCTGCAAAGACTATTTTCCTTCAATCATGATCAACTCACTTTCTATACATGCAAATCTTAAGGAATTGTTCCATGATGACCTGAGATAATCAGCAGACCTCACACATCCACACCAAGTGGTTGACTTAACTAAGTACCTCTCACTTCAGCAATTGGATTAAACATCCAAAGAGTCAGGAGATAAAACTACCGTATGAACACAAATGCTCTGTACAATGCTGTGGAGGAACCACTATCCACCAGCCAGTTAATATCTCGACCTTCCTTAATACGCAATCCAGCAAAATACAAAGACACATGCTTAAAATTCAGTACATGCTTAAGTGCACTGTGAAATCAAGATCTTGGCATTCATGTTCACAGAGAAACCACCCAACAGTGAACTTCAAGACTGCTGAAGGCTGACTCACTGAGGAAGGACTGCTATTTTCACAAGGACCTACATAGTCCTGCCTCAAGAGGATCTGAAGTACAGCCCAACATCCTAGAAAGATGGCAAGAAACACAGGATGAAGCAAACAGCAAACAGTGAATGTGAAAACTCAAATTAAACCAAAATCCACTATCCATCATATTTTAGAAGTCATGGCAGTCCTGTGAAGTTCCCACTGACTGGAGAAGGGAAACATAATCCCCATTTTTAAAAAGGGAAAAAAAGGAAGACCCAGGTAACTACAGGCCAGTCAGTCTCACCTCAGTGCACAGCACAATCATGGAACAGATCCTCCTGGAAACTATGCTAAGTACATGGAAAACAAGGAGGTGGTTGGTGACAGCCAATGTGGCTTTACTAAGGACAATCATGCCTGACAAACTTGGTGGCCTTCTACAATGGGGTTACAGAACTGATGAATAAGGGAAGAGTGACTGACATCATCTGCCTGGATTTGTGCAGAGCATTTGACACTGTCCACATGACATCTCTGTCTCTAAATTGGAGAGACATGGGTTTGATGTATGGACCACTTGGTATATAAGGAATTGGCTGGATGGTTGCACTCAAAGAGTTGCGGTCAACAGCTCGATGTCCAAGTGGAGACTGGTGATGAGTGGCGTTCCCCAGGAGTCAGTACTGGGACCAGCACTGTTCATCTTTGTCAGTGACATGGACAGCAGGATTAAGTGCAACCTCAGCAAGTTTGTCAATGACACCGAGCTGTGTGATGCAGTTGACACACTGGAAGGAAGGGATCCCATCCAAGGGGTACTTGACAGGCTTGAGAGATGGGCCTGTGCAAACCTCATGAAGTTCAACAAGGCCCAGTGCAAGGTCTTGCACCTGGGTCAGGACAATCCCAGACACGACTACAGACTAGGCAGAGAACGGACTGAGAGGAGACGTGAGCAGAAAGACTTGGGAGTGTTGGTTGCTGAGAAGCTCAACATGGCCCGGCAGTGTGAACCTACAGCCCAGAAAGCCAAG